TCTCTCTCTCTCTCTCTCTCTCTCTCTCTCTCTCTCTCTCTCCCCCCTCTCTCACTCTCTCTTTAAAAAAAAAAAATTATATGAAATAGGGATATGAAACTTGAACCTTCTGTATTTTGTTTAATTTATTCTAACAAAACCCCATTAATTTGAAATAAATTCCTTTCTTTCCTTCTTCTGTTCTTTTTAGGTGACTAATTACCACCTTTAGATATTTAATCAGATATTTGCTGTTATCTTCATTAATTGTATATCCCACATCTATTTTTAAAAATGTCTCCACAATTAGCCTGTTTTTCTACAAATACAATGTTCTTGCCTAAAAAAAGATACAAATGACTATAAAAGATAGTCTCCAGATTAAAAGAAATCAAACTTCTTAACCAATAATTATAAATTACTTCCTTTTTCTCTTAAAAAATCCTGCAATAAAGTATAATTACATTCTCAATTTCTCAACATTGCAAAGTCACCTAAGCAATGGATCACATCTGTTATATAATTAAAATAGACAGACTATTTTTAAAATAAGTCAAAATTCATTATTGAGGCTTCACTAAATAATTCAGGCTTGGCTCTGCATAATGATAGATTTGATATAACCACTAGAAAGTGTCATGTGTTCCTAGGCCACTAGACAGTTGTTTGGGCAGGGAAGGGCAAGGAAAACAGAGGAAGGATATCAATTGTTTTAATAGCCCTCTTCCAAGACTAGGGCTGTAGATTTGTGGTACAGAACTTGCCTAGCAAGTGTGAGGTCCTGGGTTCAAACCCAGTACCCCTCCCCTCCACACACACATGGTCCACGTAATGGGACATTTTCCAACACTAAGAAGAACTAAAGTAGTGGTACAGGTATAGTATGTGTCAATCTTGAAAACACAACTTTTTTCACTTAGAAGTTGGTCACAAAATATTACTTATAATATGATTCCATTTATATGAAATGTACAGATTAGTCAGAACTATAGAGACAGAAAGTAGACTGGTGGATGCTGGAGTTTGGGACAGGGATGGGAGGAGAGGTGAAGAGCAACTGCCCAGTTGTATGGGATTTTTTTGTTTTAATGAATATTCTAGATTCATTGAAGGGACATGATGGGTAAGGAGGAACTGGTTACATACCTGAGTAAAATACCCTCCACACAGGAATTTTGGCTGCCTGATATTGGTGATGGTTGTACAACATAGTGAGTCTGCTGAAAACTTGCCTATTTTTAAACAGTGAATTTTATGTCATATAAATTATTATTAGTGGTGGTGGTCCTGGGGATTAAACCAGGGATGCTCTACCTTTGAGCTACATCTCTAGGTCTTTTTATTTTATTTTGAGACAGGGTTTTGCTAAGTTGCTGAAACTGGCCTGGAACTTTTCATCCTTCTGCTGCGTCCTCCCAGTGATGTGCCTGGGATTATGGTATGCACCACCTAGCCCATCTTGTAAGGTAAATTATATCTCAAAAATTAAAAAAAGAAAAAAAATTAAAGCAATAGGCACACCTACAGAATGATTATAATAAAAAAAATAATAATAGTAAGTGTTAGAGAGGATCTGGGGAAACAACCATACCCTACTGATGAGAATGTTAAAATGATGAAAAAACAGTCTGGCAGTGTCCAAAAGGGTTAAATACAAAGTAACCATTTGACTCAGCAATTCAAATCCTGGGTGTGCACCCAAGAGAAATGAAAATATGTCCAGAGAAACCTCTACAGAAAAGTTTATAGCAGCATTATTCATAATGGCCAAAAGCTTGAAATAACCCGAAGGCTACCAACTAAAGAATAAACAAAATGTTTATACAGTGTATTATTATCCAATCATAAAAAGGAGTGATGCATGCTAACATGGATGAAACTTGATAACATTTTATAAGTGAAGAAAGTTAGTCACAAAGACCACATACTGCTATGATTCCATTCATACAAAATGTCCTATAAGATAGAGCAAATTAATAGTTGCCTGGGGCTGGGGCCTGGGGAATTAGAAGGTGGCTAAAGGTATGGGCTGTCKCCAAGGGGGTTGATGAAAATGTGCTAACACTGTGATCGTTGCATAGCCTTGCGAATAATACTAAAAAACCATTAAATAATACACTTTAAAGCAGTGAATTGTATAACATGTGAATTAGCTCAATAAATCTCTTGGGAAAAATAAGACTTCTAACCAAAATTTCTCAAAATAACTAGAGTCTGCCCTCCCGGAATCCCTGATCCTGGCGAGATGATTCGGAGGGTTTGGGGTCCTTTCTTAGAAAGGGCAAGGGCAAGTTCAAGTTCCACCCAGAGTCGCTGGATCCCCACCATTTCCTCCCACGAGGGGTTAGAAAGGAASCTAGGCGGTCCTCTAGGTGGGAGTAGGGCCGCTCGCCCCTGGCTGGGCCGCGGGATCCAGCCCTAGGGTGGGGCGCTCGTCGGCAGCGAGGCCMAGAGTCTGCAGAAGTTCCAGGTCCCTCTCTCCGTGCGGGCGGCGCAGTGAAACCCAGAGTCGGGCGGCCGCCAGCGCGGGCGGGCGACGTGGGAAGTGACCCGACCGGTCACACAGAAGGCGCTCCAGCAGCAGCTCGGTCCTCCACCCTYGGCTGCTCACAGCGCACACCTCCTGGTGCCGCCTCTCTCCAAAACAAGGGCGGTGACCGGAGGGGCCCCCAGAGGAAGCCGGGAGAAGCGGGCCCTGCCGTCCAGTCTCCCGGCTCGGCTCCCTGCCCACTGGGCACGGAACCGGGCAGGGGGCGTGGCCCGGGCCCGAGCMGTCCGGGTCTACACCGGGGACCCCTGGCGGTCGCGGCGCCCCCTCGCGGCCCAGACCAGAGCGAGTCCAGCGGGCTCCCGCTTCCGCTTTGCGGGCAGGAGGCCGCGCGTCTGCAGCACGGGGACAGGGGCCCTGGGGAGCAGCTGGACCCGCTCTCTCCCAGCATCGGCGCCGCCCATGGCCGAGGTTCTCGAGCCAGACCTGGGGACAGCCGAGGTCGCGGAGGAGCAGGCGGTGGAGACGCCGGACTGGAAGGCCCCGGACGACATGGGTTCCCAGGTAGGTGCCTTTCACGGGTGCGGAGAGAATCCCAGCCTCGGGCTGGTTTGCAGTGAGACCTGAAGGTCCCGTGGGGTTAAGTAAAAAGTACCCTTTCTACCGATGGTCCTAGTCCCAACTTGCGACCCTGTTCCTAAAACAGAAAAACTTCAGTCATTTAGCTGTGTCCCTGGGTGCAGGCCACACCTTGGCTTCTTGTCTGGGGCCTGGGGAGTAGGGGGCAACTGATTACTTCCTACTGGTTACTGTGGGACCCTCAGGCTCATGGATGCCTGTTTCTTTGAACTTGAATTGAGGTTCGGAGCCTGTGGAGCTGGGGCTGTCGCCAGCCCTAACACAAAAAGAGGGACACCTCCGGGTGAGGCTAGGCCTGGCCCTAAAGAGCCAGGACCCTAGGGCCCAGCAACACCTAGGCAAGACCGCTCCAGGAAGACTAAAGACCGAGATACCTGAATTGTGGCATCCCATGTCCTACTGTCTTGGAATTGCTTTGGAAGTTTCCTCTTCCCTTCAGGCCGGAAGTTATGAGACCCGACACTATGGGCCAGCCAAGTGGGTCAGCACTAGTGTTGAATCTAAGGACTGGGATTCAGCCATCCAGACTGGCTTCACAAAACTGAACAGCTACATTCAAGGCAAAAACGAAAAAGGTAAGAGCAATTGTAACTTAGTGTGCATGTGATGATTGAGACCTGGGTCTAAGTAAGAGTTTTAGCTTTTTACAGAAATATCCTTTATAATAGAAATACCCACATCATCAAAGACTTGATCTTTTCACACTAGGATGCTCCTGGAGTACCTTTGCATGGGCTAGAGGAGGGTACCTCTGGATAGTACTTTTCAACCTTTCTCCTTGCCTTTTTGGGTGAGCTGTCTGTGGCTCTTCATAACTAGTGAGAAGTCCTTTCCCAGGGCTAATGCTTCAGGATAATTTGGTGACTGATACAGAAAAATATACCAGGGGGCAGAAAGATGGTGGATTAGGAGGCTCAAGTCTCAAGTCATAACTTTTATCTCTGGCCAAAATAAATATGTATATTTTTAGGCAGGTCTCTCAGCTTATCGGACCTCATTTTCTGAACTGTAAAGAAAACAGGATTAACTAGACCATGTTATCTCCACATTCCCCTTTTATCTCTGAAAGTACAGAATTTATTAACCAAAATTATCAATAGTATAGAAAGGTTTAATGTGAACCCTGAATAATTGAGACTTTTGGCCTTTTTTTTTTAAAAAGAGACAAATTATCTTGAAGGTAAATACTTATATCAGAATTATGAAGTAAATTAAGAAACTCAGATAAAGAATAGGTTAAATTTTAAAAGCAGTCACATGCCCAGTAGATTTAATTTTCATTTTTATGGCACAGAGATGAAAATAAAGATGACAGCTCCAGTGACAAGCTTCGTGGAGCCTGGCTCTGGTCCTTTTAGTGAATCTACCATTACCATCTCCCTATACATCCCCTCGGAACAGCAATCCGATCCACCGCGGCCTTCGGAGTCAGATGTCTTCATTGAAGACAGAGCTGAAATGACTGTGTTTGTGCGGTAAGTGGTAGATAATTTACAGCCCTGCAGTCTGCTAATTTTACTTGCACACCCTTGCTGTTTAGCTCCTGAGCAATTCCAACAAGCTTTTCACTCTTTCATAAAAACAGGCCTAACGTGCTTCATGAAGTTTTCCAACTAGCCCCGTTTTAAATATTAATAAAGTCTGTTGCAAGATACATCAATTCATTTAATGAATTGATATAAAACACAGTATAAACGATATCACCCCAAACATAAAGCTGCTTTTACCTGCAATCCAGGTAAACCTGAACAAAAATACCTTAGAAAAYAGTACATGATACCTATCTTATTAATTAGGGGTGCTATGACAAAATATCATATACTGAGTAACTTATAAGAAACAGAAATTCCCCAGCTCTGGAGGCTGGGAAGTTCAAGTTTATGGCACTGCTAGTTCCAGTGACTGGGGATGGATTATTTGTTGGTTCATACATGGGATCTCTTGCTTCATTCTCACATGGTAGAAGGAGTAAATAAACTCCTTTAGGACCCTATTATAAGGGCACTAATCCCATTCATGAGGCTCTACCCTCATGATTTAATTATCTTCCAAAGTCCTGCTGCCTAATGCCATCACATTGGTGGTTAAAATTTCAACATGTGAATTTTGGAAGGACACAAACAATCAGGCCACAGCTTTCCACCTCTGGTCACAAAAAGATCATGTCCTCCTCACATACAAAATGCTTTGATTTCAGCTGGGTGTGGTGGCACATGCCTGTAATCCCAGCAGCTCAGGAGGCTGAAACAGGAGGATCGAAAGTTCAAAGCCAGCTTCAGAAACTTAATGAGGCCCTAAGCAAGTCAGCAAGACCCTGTCTCAAAACATTAAATAAAAAAAAAATTAAAAAAAATTAAAGGGCTGTCGGTGTTGCTCACTGGTTAAATTCCCTGGTACAAAAAAAAAAAAAGTATAAATTCCATCTCAGTAATGCCCAGAGTCTTAATTCATTTCAACATCAACTCAAAAGACTAATCTAAATATCCTTTAAATTAAATCTGGGTGAGACTCAAGTATGATTCATCCTGAGGCAAATTCTCTCCATTTGTGAGCCTGTGAAATCAAACGTTCTCTGCTTCCAAAATACAGCAGTGGGGCAGTCATAAGATAGACACTCACATTCCAAAAGGGAAAAATAGGGAAGAAGAAAAGAATAAGAGGTCTCAATAGAGACCCAAATCTTAAGGTGTAGGATTAATCTTCTTTTAACTCAAGACTCTGCCCTCTAGGCCTCCTGGAGTGGAGGTCATGCCTCTGAAGCTTTGCTGGACAGGAGTGGGCTCCCAGTGCTCCAAGTAGCCCTACTCCATAACTTTGGGTAACCCTACTCCCGATGCCACTCTCATGGGTTGTGGTCAGCTACCTGCAGCTCTTCCAGGCTGGAATTGCACAATAGTAGCTCTACCAGTCTGGTGTGCCCTGCTCCTACAGTCCCATTAGGAATTGCCCTATAGGTGACTCTCTGTGGTGGTCCCATCCTTGCTGTGGCCCTCTGTCTGGTTCATGTACCTGAGGCTCTGGGTAGTTCCATCCTTCAGGATCTAAGTGGAGGTGGCCATACTCCCTTGGCTTGTGTACCCCATACATTAGCAGAGATGGCACTGTTTGGATGCTGCTAAGATCTATCACCTGTGCCCTCCTGCGGGCCAGACATCCTGGCCTATGTCACACGTTGGCCCATTGAGCTGAACCTGGAGTGGTCAAGGAGTGTCACTTTGGAAAGCAGAGAGTAGAACCTTGAGGTGGTGCTAGGCGTTGAGCTCCAAGGTCCTAAAGGGTCGGAAGCCCCTCCTTTGAAATGGGTCTTCTCCCATGTGTTGATATTCTGAGCCTGGGATGGGAGAGGAAACCCCCCTGGTTAACCTCTGAAATGCCTTTGGAGCTACTCTTAGAGAATATGTCCTGGCTTCAGTATGGATGACAGTGCCAAAATAATTTCCTTTTCAAAGCATTGCTTGGCTTTATTCTTCTCTCCTGTGCAAGCTTTTTCATTTTTTTCAATATGGATAGACTAACAATTATCTGAAAATTTAGGTTCTGGGCACAATGGTTTATGTCTGTAATCCCAGCAGCTTGAGAGGTTGAAGTAGGAGGATCAAGAGTTCAAAGCCAGCCTCAGTAACTTAGTGAGGCCCTAAGCAACTCAGTGAGACCCTGTCTTTAATAAAATACAAAAAAGATCTGGGGATGTGGCTCCGTGTGATTAAGTGCCCCTGGGTTTAATCTCCAGTACCAAAGGAAAAAGAAAATTCTGTCTATAAATTGTTTCTCCTTTCTGGTATTGTGCTGTAGGAATTCAATAGAGACCAAGCCACATCTTCATTTGCTCAGAAAAACTTTCACCCAACAATCCTATTTCATCGCTTCTAAGCTCTTCCATATAACATTAGGATATGAACAGAGTTCAGCTGAGCTCTTTGCTACATTATAACAAGGTTCAGTTCTCTTTCAGGTTCCAATAACATGTTCCTTATTTCCATCTGGGGCTTCATCAGAACCATCACAGTCTGATGCAGCTCCCACTGTCTCCTTGGAAACTGCTCTTGCCATCTTCAGCAATACATTTGTCACATGATTATGTCCTCTTCCCTGTGACCCCCACAGCATCCATGTATTGACCAAGCTGTTTCCTGAATATTTGTTTATCCTTTAAGAATGTGCTCTCTAACCATTCCTTTCCCGTTTCTTTGCCTCAGTGGGCTCCTCCTTGGTCCCCCATCTCTGAGTCACTGCTGATGCCCATTGTTGATCTTCATGGCACACTTGCTGCGGGTGGTCCTCTCACATTGCTTCAATTCCCCGTGTCTAAGGACTCTCAAATCTAGTGACTATCTCCATTTCTGGCTTCCCTACCTGTTACATTTCTATTTGGAGATGGAAATTGAGGGATCAAACCAAGCAGCTCTAAAAATAAGCATTCCCTAATCCCCAAACCTTCTCTGGCCTGCAGTGCCTACCTCCACAAAGGGCTATGTCCTKTGGCCCATTGAGCTGAACCTGGAATTCACCCTGTGAATGCCCTTCCTCCTATTGTTATTCTTCTCAGTTATAATGACTTACTTATAAACTCCTTAAGAGTATGACAGCTTGTCCCCATGTCCATATGCTCCAGCTCCTAGCAGGATTGGTGTTTGGGGCTGGGGGGTACACAGGTATGTGTACAGAATAAAGCAGCAGATAGATCCTTGTAGAACAAGTGTTCAGAAAACACAAGACGACTTCTAATTAGTGTCTTCAAGATTCCTATTTAAGGAAAAAGTGGAATATGAAAACAAATTTCCTGTAGGCTGAACGTAGTGTTGACTGTTCATTAAAAAAATAAATAATATTGGATCCAAAATGTTACTTAACACAAGGCTCAGAATTGTATTCTGTGTACAAAGCAGAGTTGAATCAGCTCTCCTGCCGCAGCTCACTTTGTCTTCATATGAATACAGAGATGCATACATTTATTCAATGTGGATTTAAAAGGAATGATTTCAGGCACAGGAAAGAAATTGTTGAATAAAATCAACATAGTTTGTGTTCTTTGGGTCCTGAATCTTGTTTGGTTCATGTTAGGACTGATTTTTTTTCATTGGCCCATTGATTATGAAACTTATACCAAAAAAAATTAGGAATAATTTTGTGTTTCTTATTCTTAACCTTCAAAGTCAAATTCATTGTACTCATAAGCAGCAGCTCAGCCAGGTCATGGTATAATCTCAGAATGTTTTTGTTTACATACTTTAAAATTTATATTTCAACTTTTACTCTTTTCCTCATTTTATTTAAATCTTTTCTTCCCTGTTTTTATAGCATTCTCCTAGATCTTCTCCTCCAATCTATGTTCCATCTCTCTGCTTGTATCCTTACCCCGATCTGACCAGGTTATTGTCTGCTCAACATCTTTTTCAATAACCTCAAAAGGCCTTAGACCAAGGTTCTTCCTTCTGGCTTCGACTCACCTTTCAGATTTTATTTTATGCCTCACTATGAAAATGTGTTGTACTCTTTATATCCCTCATTTATCCCTTCCCTTTCTTTATTCATCCTCCACTTCTGGCCTAACCTAGATGAGACCCCTTACCCCGAATTTAATCATATCTTCAGTGCTCCTGTAGAACTTTGATTCTGCCACTGTTACCGCTACTTGGGGTACATAGAGCTGCCCAAATAAATGTTGGTCTCTTTCATTAGAGTATAAATGTGTAGCGATCTAAACTAATTATATTCATCTGTAACCCAGTGCCTACTTTTTGCCCAAAGGAGAAAAAACAGGGAAATTGTTCATTGGAAAATTGACATTCTAATCTGGGCATACTGGCATGTACTCCCAAGTCTGAGGCAAGAGAATCATTTGAGTCCTAGAATTTAAGAACAGCCGGGATAACATAGTAAGACCCTGGGGGTAGAGGGGAGAGGAGGGAGGAAAGGAAAAAGAGAAAAGAGAAAGGAAGGAAGAAGGAAGGAAGGAAGGGAGGGAGGGAGGAAGGAAGGGGAAGGAAGAAAGAAATTTAAAAAAGGGAAAGAAACGGAAAGGGGGTATCTAAAGGGATTTCAGTGTGGTTCTGTATCCAGGAGCATCAGCACATATCTGGGAAATTGCTTGACATACATTCTAAAGCCCTTCCGCAGATCTCCTGAATATATTTCTAATAGATCCCAGAATAATTCTTATGCCCAGAGAAATTTGAGGAGCACAGGTTTGAGAATATGAGATCTTGTAAGTTCCAAATCTGCCTGTCAGCAAATGGGACCTAGGTGTCCTCCTGGTTCTCCTCAGTGGGTTCGAGGTCATATGGGACTGGGAGCTGTGGGACCAGAAGGGTCAGCATAGTGGTTAGAAGCTGCACTGTATCCAGTGTTAGGGTACCAGATCCTGCTCTTCTAGTGTCAGTAAGGAAACCACTCATGCTTATTTATCTTCTCCTTTGTAGGTCCTTCGATGGATTCTCTAGTGCCCAGAAGAATCAAGAACAGCTTTTGACATTAGCAAGCATTTTGAGGGAAGAAGGGAAAGTTTTTGACGAAAAGGTTTTCTATACCGCTGGCTACAACAGTCCTTTCAAATTGCTCAACAGAAACAATGAAGTGTGGTTGATACAGAAGAGTGAACCCTCCAAAGAACTTGAATGAGAAAGTGAAAGGAAGTTCATTGCCTGGGGCATGCTTTGCTCTAATTGCCATCAACCCCTCCTAGAAGTAAAGCTGTGTGCGGTATCTTCTAACTTGAGAGTACCACTATGAATTGAGCTTATTTCCAATGTGCCTTCTTAATGCTTGAAGCTTTGTTTAGATACTCAGATAACAGGGGACAAAGTCTGTAAATGTAAATGGGTCACAAACTTGTTCACAATATCACAATTATGTTGCCTTCTTCTGCTTGGATTTGAGTCCATGGATGTTCTTCCTTCCAGATAATATCAGTAAAGACATTCAAGATTTATCCTGTGTGGAGCTATGAGGCCAGCAGGCCTGGAGGCCCGGCGAGAGTCAGTTGGACACAAAAATAAATTGTCTTTTGCGGCTGCCATTGTTACAATCTCTGTTGAGCCTCTGCCCAGTGCCCCYTGCTCAAGAAAGCTCTTACCCAAAAGTGTTGATTATATTCAGTGACAGAGAATACATTTATGAAGCTAGGGACATCCTGTCTTGTATGACATCCCATAAAGGCATGTTTTGTGCTGGATATGTAGCTCAGTGTTAGAGAGCTCACCTAGCAACCATGAGGCCCTGGGTTCAATCCTTAGCATTGCCAAATAAATAAATACTTATTAAAGAAATAAACACAGACATATAATTTAAGAAGTTACTTGAGTTCTTAGACTGTTTCATGTCATATTTCCACAGTTACAAAATGATTTGTAAAATGCAGATAGAGGTCCTTGTCTAATGGTGCTGGAAAAGGCTTGTCCTAGGGAAGATAAAATCACATTTGGTCCCTGGAAGCCAGTTGTGGAAAGGGTTGTACCTATGCTGTGGGCTCCTGGGGATGGTGGCTTTAGGAGTAGGGGAGAAAAGTAGGCTGGAGCTCAGTATTTTCCAACAATCACAGCTGCCCACGAGTGGTACTGCTTCTGTCATTGCCTGCCTAAGCACAGGACACACAGTCACTTCTCAGGAGACAATTGCTTACATAGGAGATGTGAGTATCCAGAGGGTTGAATGGGCCTGGTGATGCCTGAGGTCCTTTCAACCCTAACATTATCTTTTAAAATTAGTCTCCCTAATCCAGATGCAGTAGACCAACATCCTTAAAGTAAATGATTTCCATAGCCAATGTTTATACATTGCCTTCTAGGTGTGCTATTCTTAGTGTAGCACCTGAATTATCACATTCGACCCTCAGAACAACCCACATTTGATCATCCCCATTTGATCAGATGAGGAACTAAGACACAGAGCTATTAGGTAACTTGCCATAGACTACACTGTAAGGGCAGAGGCTGATGTGAGCCCAGGCAGTCTGGTTTCTAACTCCATGCTGTTGCCTTCTAAGCCCCACAGGCAGACTGTGTGGTAGTGTTCTTCCTGCATAGAAATAATTCATGTGATTATGATCTCAGCGATACCTTTGAGATTGTAATATTTGATAGGAAAAAAAACCAAGCTAGATTTCTGGCTTGGAAATTATTATGGATATAAATTTTAAAATTCTAGGCAATTATTTTCTGAATATATTTCCTTGAGTTGCATATCAAATTTATTGATTCCTTGCACATTTATGCTTGCCAAAAAGAAATTAAGATTCTTTTATAGCACATTTACCATCACTTACTAGAAGATGTCTGTTAGCTCTCCTACTGATGAATGTCCACAGTACTAACCTCTACTGTTATGAGGCAAATATTTCTAAAGTTCAACCTATAGTCCTATACAAAACATGTGTCACACATGCAATAAATTTCACTTAAATGAGAGAAGCATATTTCTGATGACCAAGATTCAGTTGTAATCTAAAACATGTTCAAGAAAAACTTGATTTTATACCATTTGAGTTCTAAGTATCCCATTTCCCCCCTCTTCCTCCTTAAAACTAAAGACTTTTTTTTTCAGCCATAAATTAATCAGCCTAGAAAGTATTTCTCACAGCAATGAATTRTTATTTTAATCATGTGGCTGGTCATAAAATAGCCCTTATGTTAACATTTCTTTTGCATCTTTTTCCTTATCTTACCTATGGGAAATATATGTCTAAACCCTTTTCTAAGGCTCAGCCTTCCATTTGAGCTGTTGATCTAWTTTTTGCTTCACCAATGAGCTCTCCCCTCTCCTCTGCAGTGCCTCTCTCCCAAATGCTCCCATCACTCTGCTCAAAATAGGCACAGATTCTGACAAGTAATGGCTTCCTTGAAACTCATTGCATTTATCCACTCTTTCCTAGGCATTACTTGTCTTCCTGAAATTCTGGCTGTTCCCCCTTAAAYATTTCCCTGAAATGACATTTACTCATTCTTTAGGTTTTTATGGAGCTTGTACTGTGGACACCCCATGARGGGCTGGGATATAGTGCTGAGCAAACATGCCGCCCCATCCTTTGTCAGAGACTTCTTGTTTCCTAGCTCCAGCAACCACCTTTCACTCTTCGCTTTAGCTCAGCTTCCTACTGAGGAGACAACTGTGCACACATCGGAAGTGGCCTGTTCTCATGGACCTCGTGTTCCAGAGGATGGGGCAGTTCTACACAAAGAAGATGATCTGAAGTTGTGGCACTTGCCATCAAGAAGTGAACTGGGGCTGGTTGTGGTGGTGCATGCCTGTAATCCTAGCTGACTCAGGAGGCTGAGGCAATGAGGATCGTGAGTTCAAAGCCCGTCTCAGCAACTGAGTGAGGCCCTAAGCAACTCAGCAAGACTCTGTCTCTATATAAAAGTACAAAAAAGAGGGCTGGGGATATAGCTCAGTTGGTAGAATGCTTGCCTCGAAKGCACAAGGCCATGGGTTCAATCCCCAGCAGCATAAAAAAGGTACAAAAAAGGCCTGAGGGTGTGGTGTAGTGGTTAGTGCCCCTGGGTCAATCCGCTGTACCAAAAAGAAAAAGAAAGAAGTGAACTAGGGCAGTGGGATGCTGCCGTGGGGCTCGGTAGGGTCTGGTGGATGTCACATGGGATGGTCAGGAAAGGCCTTTCTGAAGAGACCCTGGAGATGTGAAAGATGGAAGCTCAGTGCAGAGGTGGGAGCATACTGGGTAGAGGGGTCAACATCCAAGAGGCGGGATTCAGTGTCCATGACGAAAAGCTCCACAGACAGGTTGCTGAGCAGGACATCTGTGCTTGTTGGGCACCATCTCTCTGGATAAAGAAAGCTGCTGACTTTACACAGGGTTTTAGGAAACAGAGAGTCCAGGGATTAACAGACTTTCAAAAGCATCCAGGGATTGATCGAGCTGTCGTTGTGGAGGTGCGGTTACCAGAGCGAGGCGTCTGCTGATTAGCAGGATTCGGAAGCCTGGTTTAGAAGTGAGGTTACTGATGCCACGCTGTCACTGACTATTCCTGGTACTTATTTGTTATTGTGACCAAAGAACGGTCATTTCTTTTCTGGGATTTGGAGCAGTGGCAGACAACCACATGGAGTGAGCYGGTCAAGATTTACCTTCAAGCAAACTGCTTGCTATATATTCCAGCTAAATAAATTGTGTTTTCTTGAGTGGTTTAAAAAAAAAAAACAAAAAACTACTAGCTGCCCAGCGGTGAGGGCTGTGGTTCAGATACAGCCTTCAGCTTTTTGTTTGTTTTGTTTTGTTTTTTGAAGTTGCAGATGAACACAACACACAATATCTTTATTTTACTTATTTTTATGTGGTGCTGAGGATCGAACCCAGTGCCTCACACTTGCTAGGCAAGCACTCTACCACTGAGCCACAACCCCAGCCCCAGTTTTCAGCTTTTATGTTCTTCAGGGCCACCTCAGATTTCAAGATAAGGACACAGTATCCCCAGGGGAACACCTAGCCTATCACTGGGAGAAGCAGGGGGTGTCAACAGCATACCATTTTCTACCAACTTCCAGCCAGGGACCAACCAAGGTGGAGATACAAGACGTAGTTGTTTCTGTCCAAGTCAGGGCTCCTCTAATAAATACTTTGCTCTAGAGCTTCCTGGCAGGGTGATAGAGATTATGTCAATCTGTATTGCAATCCAACAAAAAGCTCAAGTGCTCCATCCAACAATTCCTTGTCCTTTCAGAGATGCAATTTCAATATACAATTTTATACTTCATCTCAGTCTCAGATTGGCTCAATTGATATCAGTGGTTCAATCACATAGGGTTAGGGTTAGGGTTTTGAGACTGGCTGGTTATGAGTCTCCATCCCTAGTGAAGGTAGTAAAATTCTAGATGGAGTGRTGAAAGGGAGTGCCATGACTGGTGGGTAAATCTGTTGTCTCAAATATGGGGGGAATACAAGAGCAATAGAGTAGAATGGTTATTACCCAGTTGGATGGATGTCCTGCAGATAGTATTGAAAAGCTCAGGTCAATTAACAGACAACTTAAAATCAACTAAGAGCCCGTCTTTTTGTGGTCAAGTCCTCATCTCTTACAGCAACTAAACAGAAAATTCTGAAGGTCAAGCACAGACTTTGGTGGTAAAACTAGCTCACTACCAATGTCCAACCAAGCCCAATCTGTGACATTGAGGTCAGAGTCAAACCTCGGGACCTGAATCCCATCATGGGGACMATTTGGGGGGATGCCCCCAACAATTCTGACTCCCAAGAGTCAGAATGTTTCTCAAGATGCTGAGCATGCAGAAGAGACCCACCCTTCCTCACTAAGCTAGAACTACTCCCGCCCCYCTTCTGCTATCCTACCACAAGGAAAGACCGTGTTCTTTCCACCATAAGGCAACAGGTGTCCTACAGGAGCTGTCCCCATCCCTTGTCAGGACTGCTAGGCTTAAAGTCAGAGCTAAGTCACAACTCACCTTCTGGGGTTGTGTCGCTCTGGTGAGGGGAGAAATGGACTGCACTGGGAAGGGCACAGGAGTAGCCTTGGGACTAGATTCTGGGGGTGCCTGACTAAAGATGCGGGGTTTATAATACTAGATAAGGGAGAATTTCTTGAGCTGGGAACAACTCTAAAGATACAGCATTTAACACGATGAGAAAAACGCCAGAAGACAGTGTGAACTCACTGCTCTGGGCTGGCTCACAGAAGCCTAGAAAAGTGAGAGAAGTGTTGAAATGCCTGAATCTGCTGGTCAGA